ATTATTCCTCAGTAGCACTGGAACCAATAACAACAACTCAGATGGTTCTAAAATTATGATCGAGAATAATATGCCTTGCCAAAAATGCCCTCATTTGTCAAATTGGCTTATTTGCAACGAACAGGTGATAGGTACTAGAAGGATCTTGCAGCCGAGGATCAAAAGGTCCAGCAGAACTGCGCCCAGCGTATGCGAGCATCGCAGTAACAACACTAGCAGGTGATACCCATACTGATATCTCGGGCGCACATTAGTGCATAAGCTAGACTATTTTACAAAAAATGAATGGGTAATTAAATGTGATTGCCATAATTGTACACTAGGACTGCAGCAACCGGACTAGAATTGCGCGGTCACAGAGCGAGAATGAGTCATAAGTACTGCCAGGAATAAAGCTCCTACAAGAGTGGTAAACAGTTTCCGAATATTACATCTTTTGATCTTTGAGCTCTAGGAAGCGTTATAGTATTCATTTATTTAAAAATGTTGATTTTTATTTTAGTAGTTCTTTGTGCCCATAAAATCGCTTTGTAAATAGGGCATCGTCCATTCATTACAGAGTTGCATGTATTCTTCCGGATTTGCATGCATTCCAGTACTCCAGGTTCGTTCCTTGCTCTCTTTACTACATATAGGCGCTAGCAAACCAATATGGCAGCAGTATTGTAGCTATCAACGAATTCATCAAAGCTGTTCGATCTGATGGTACTAGGCCTGACTCCTGCACTGGTACCAGACTTTTTTACCTTGGCACCCAATCACTATCCAGCAGCCTTCTCACGTACGCACATCGTGCTTCGGAATTTTCATATTATAGCTTGATTAACCGGTTTAAAAATTCCACAGCACGCTGTCGTGGCGCAACTAGTGTTTTTTGCATGCAGTCTTGGAAAATGTTGGCGCAATAGTAGTTCAGTATAATTTTGCAAGAATTTATGAAAAAACTTTTTTTGGGCTATACTAGCTTATGTCAAGTGACCTGGCAGTACTGGTAACAAGCAGTAGGTAAATGTGTTATTTTTGCGGAAAGAGCCGTGTTCTCCGTGAAAAATAAAAGTTTCTGGCCGACTCTGATCGTTCACTACCGTCTGTCAAAGGTCACCAATCATTTATAAAATCAGACATTTTCCACGTGCCTGTAGTTTAAATGTCATTCTAAGAAGCACCGTACGTCTTGGATCTCACTCCTATGCTTTAATGTGCTGCAGTACCAGGAGATAAACTATGCCTCCGACACTTGAATCACAGTGTAAAGTTGCTCGAATAATAAAATCCACATGAAAACCAGATACCAAGAATACCAAGAGCGAGCAGGACATTAGTGAATCTTCTCTGTTAACCATGTTACTGACTGCTTTTAGCATCAAACGCAGCTATGCCAGGCCTTCGAAATTTGAAGTAAAGTGAGCACTCGAGCTTAACGACGATAACACACTTTCAGTTGCGTGTATTTTTCATCTCGAAGATAAAGCTCTAAATTGTTGTTCTGGTTCAATTTAGACAGATGGCTATGATACTCACAGCTTTACTTGCATGCTTCCACGTTGGTGTTGTTTGGTCACTTAGGCAAAAATCAGGTGATTTTCTTCAAATAAATCTTGTTTATCCTGTTTAAAAAAAAAACTCATTTATTCTTTCAGCTTGTTTCACGATTTCGTTCTTTCCAATTTTCAGCGGCTATGAAAGCATTTTTCATTTGCTGGCGTTCTATGCTCAAAGTAACAACTTCTTAGGTATGAAGAATAGAAGTCGATGAGCTTAAACTAATGGAATTCGGTAGGGAGCGCATGCAAAAAATAAAAACTTTTCAGTCCGTCAAAAAACACTGACCAACTTGGCGCCCCATGCCATACGTTGACACAGTGGATCAGCGCAAAAAAAGAAACAAAAAAATATCAACAATTAATGGAAAATTTGACGTTTCGTTTTGTAAAGCCATTCATACTAAAACAACTCAAAAAGCTAATAAATTCAGCTGTATTATCCCGAAACTCGTTTCAAAAAAAGCAACATTTTCAGCAGTAATCTCATGCGGTCCTCACCCAGCGGTCGAAAATGGCGAGATTTTATATGCTAAGCATGAGAACCCGTATCGGATTGGCGCAACAGCAACCCTCTTGTGCGATAAGCAACATTACCCTGCTGGCAACAAATGGACCCAGTGCACATGGGATGGAGTATGGTCCCCACTCCTCGGTTTTTCTTTTTTTTTCGAATTTTTGAAATTTCTAATTGTGACTTCCAGAATGTTTCTTCGCAAACTTTTTACTCTACTCTACTGACACACTAATATTCCATCAGAATATGAAGAGTGGTGCCTTCGGCGATGTTAAGATGCAAACTTTCACTTGCTTGAACAAATTTTATTCATGCCACCCGGTTTTGCCCTCTATAAAAATGCCTTTTCAAGCGCCACTTTAACTAGCAATTATTGTTTAGTGATGCTGGACATCCACTTTTGAACAAAATGAGTAATATGAAAGCACTGCGCATTGCTAGGCCACTTCTGATCAAAAAGAAGTGAAATATACTGGGCAAGACAAATACTGTACTTTTCTAAAGAGAACTTTAATGCTTCAGCCTGAGAACTGTAATTCAGTTATTAACAGTGTGAACAAAGTTTGCAAGAAAAGAGAGTGCTGAGCAAAAGTTTTCATAATATCCCAATGCAACAACTTTCTTTTACTGGCAAGCATAGCAGAGCGAGAAGTAACGATATTCTGATGCTGAAGGTGCAAGATTCTACTTCCCCCTTGAGACATCTAACCTTTCCACAATTTGTTCATTTCTTTTGACGGTAAACCGGTAATGTCATATGTCAGAGAGGCAAAGCGAATATAAGCTTGCTGCTAAACGCGCCTCGGAAGAGTTTGATCCACTTTACAACCTTGTCAGCGCATGGCTGCGATAACAGATGCTACAATTTGCGCTACATCGATAATGCTTTCCGGCTCTCACAGAATGTGGGCTAGGAAAGAATTTTGTCACTGAGGTCAAGGATATCGTCAAATTGCTTTGGTGAATACTACTAGCTAGCCAAGATGAATTTAAAGAATGATGTAAGACGAGTTCGCAACAATTACAAAAAATTCCTGAATTTTCACGTTACTAAAAAGATTCAACCCCATTCTCGAACTAGTAATTATCATCTTCAGAGCAAGAAACAACTGCAAAATTTCAGAATTTCTTGAAAAAATGTTTTACAGGTAACTGTGAATTTGTACGACCAGCCGGCAATGAAACGTTTTGCACCGAGTATCGTCACACCGGATTGCCACAGCTTCGCCATCGACCAGTGAGCCCTTTTTAACAAAGTTGTGCAAATTTTGTATCTAACAGTTGCACACTTATCTAGCTAGCACTAGTGTAGCCGTCGAAAATGAAAGAGTTCTTCTCGTCTTCGTCTTCCTTATCTTTTCCTTTTTTCGCAAAATCAAAATCTTTCCGTACAAGACACAGAAAAAGCAAGACTTCCTTTGTAGATCATGTTTAGGTATTTTGACTAACAGTTTTGTCTCAAAATTGTTAAATTCTCTTATATCACTACATGCATGCATATCCGCTTGCGCAACGTTTCGATATGCATGCTTTTTGAATATGCACAAGTTCTGTGACGAAAAGCTTTCGCTATTTAGCTTTCATTAACAAAACTCCGGATGACGGTAGAAAAAGAACTGACAACCACCGTACTACTATTGCAGCTGCTGGTAAACAGTCGATTTGTTGTGCTAAAGGAACTTTTATATTTGAGGTGATAATCTCTTAATGGAAAACTATTTTTTAATCAAAGCGGCTTGCAGAGACTGACATCGCGAATGGTGGCGAAGAACACGGAAGTTACCCTGGAATGTCCATCCGGCCAGCATCCAAGTGGCCCTGAAAAGTCTAAATGCATTGATGGCGTATGGAAGCCGCGTCTCGGCTTATGTGAGGCAGATTAAGAGATATTCACAGCCATACATACATACATGCATCTGTGCGCGTACGCGCACGTAAATATGTGCCAGCAAAAATTATCTGCGACGATTTTATACGCATTTTGTTCGTGATTTTTTGCTCATAGGGCAAAAATGCTTACTGCTTACCACAGTTATGTTTAGTTGTTTTTCAAGTCCGATAAAAGTTTAATGGAATATTCTCTCCGACAATGAAGTCTACGTTGGTCGTACTCAGACATTCACTGTAAATGCAATTGTACCTGTTTGAAATTAGAATTTTTACACCCAAATAAGACAAATATGCGAAAAATGATGGGTCTCGCAACTTGTATGAACCCCAGGCTGAAACGCAGCAGGCTTGCTAGTGCAGTCATGCGTCTTCGCACTAAACCTGAAGCAATCAGGTCTTTATCGGTAGAAATGGTTGTTTGCTTTACGCCTACTTTGTGCGCTCACTAGCCTAACCCATCGTCCTTTTTATGCGTTTTTTGCAGCAATGCAATGCAAAAAACGCATATTGACGAGAGGTTGTCTGTGTGTTTTTATGCGTTTTTTGCAGCAATGCAATGCGAAAAACGCATATTGACGAGAGGTTGTCTGTGTGTGTATGTGTCTGTGTGTGCGTATGCGTTTTTTAGATGCAATGCGAAAAACGCATATTGACGAGAGGTTGTCTGTGTGTGTGTTTGAAGCAAGCTGAATAGGGAGGGGAGTTTGACTTTTTGCCTATATTTTGTCACTAGTACTGGTTTTTACGCTTTTTTTTTGCAGTTATGCAATGCAAAAAACGCATATTGACGAGAGGTTGTCTGTGTGTGTGTGTGTGTGTTTTGCAGCAATGCAATGCGAAAAACGCATATTGACGAGAGGTTGTCTGTGTGTGTGTCTGTGTGTGTGTTTGTGTGTGTCAGCATGCAATGCGAAAAACGCATATTGACGAGAGGTTGTCTGTGTGTGTGTGTCTGTGTGTGTGTTCAATGCAATGCGAAAAACGCATATTGACGAGAGGTTGTCTGTGTGTGTGTGTGTGTCTGTGTGTGTTTGTGTGTGTGTCTGTGTGTGCGCTGCAATGCGAAAAACGCATATTGACGAGAGGTTGTCTGTGTGTGTGTGTGTGTGTCTGTGTGTGTGTTTGTGTGTGTGTGTCTGTGTGTGCGCTGCGCGTCTGTACCGATTTTTTATCTCGAGACCGGCAAAAGCTACGGGGCTGAAACTTTGGGGACTAAATCTGTGTGTACGTACGGGACCCTATCCCCAAAATGGGCAGTCTTTCCGGCGTGGTACCCACGTAAGGCCCGCCAAAGTTTTTTACGGGGAAGCTGATAACTCGCGAACCAGAAAAGCTAGAGAGCTGAAATTTTAGGGGAATGTTCTCCGTCCAAGTAGGTACTAATGAGCTTAAATGCAGCCCCCGGGCAAGCGTGGTACCCGCGTACGGGCCCTCCCCCG